AATCATCATAGAGGATATTACACGCTGGCGCGAAGATATGAATTTTATTTTCGAGTGGCAAAACAATATTTTACGAACGAGCTCAGCGAGTGAGTAAAATATTGTTTTTGCCACTCGAAAATAAAATTCATATCTTCAAGCCGCCGTGTAATGTTCTTTTTATTATATAGACAAAAAGACATCGATAAAATAATAGAGGGAAATGACCAGAATTACGTCATCGATAAACTCACGTGTGACTGATTATGGAAAATAAACCACTCGGGTCCCGGATGAAGTTTTTATGAATTTTACGAGTGGTATATTATCCAGTAAAACACTCGTGTCTATATAATAAAATTCTTTAGAATACGCGAATTAAAATAACTAATCTCGTCCTCGTAGTCGTACTCGTCCTCGAATCTAAAGAGGCTCTATTCAACAAAACAAAATAAGCAGGTTTGTTAAGCTAACACTTGCGCCGTGATCTCTCCACAACTTCTACTTTATTCTACTCCGGTGGGCAGACCGTAATTTCACTTCTGTATCACCTACATAAGTCACTCAAAAGTAATCATATCATATATAGGCATGTACGTCCCCCTCAACTGCCGAGAAACCTCTAGTCGACCACGGCCATTTAGAAGTATACAAACTGAGTACGCTATGTACCTTAATCTCTTACTCGGTCTGTTTTGTGTTTATTTTTGTTATGAACATTTGATTGCGCTTTCATAGACCCGTGTTTTGTTTTATACGTAAGGATATCCTATAAAAAAAAACATGTTTAAAGACTAATTAGTCATTCAAAATCAGTGTCCCATCCCATCCCTTCATCCACGTTCCTCCAACCTAGCAACCAGGGCCTTTCCTGCCCCTTCCATTTTTCGAGGAAAAATACCCTGGGGATGTCTGGCCCGGCCGCTTGCATTTTCTAAAGAAAAAAAACCCTGGGGATGCCCCCCTTCCATTTTCTAAGGAAAAAAACCCTGGGGATGAGGTTGCCAACTTAAACCAAATACACCACTTTCGATAAGTATTAAAATTCAGGGCCCAGTTGTTGTTTGAAGGCCGATTAGCGCTAAACCAGGGTTAAATTTTAACCTGGGATTCTTTTTCTTTTATTTAAAAGTATTTTCCCGGAGAATTTTCTCTCTCTTTTTTAGAGCATCCAATCATCAATTGTAGGCAAAAAGAATACAAATGAATTTGCTTCTCAAACTTTCATATATGAAATCAAATTTCGCACTAACCATGGGTTAACTTAACCCTGCTTTGAACAATCCGGCCCAGCATGATAGCGACTCGTTATCATTTGTGGGGAGGAACATTGCGTGGTGACACAAAGAACGGCTGTTGTAGACTAGATTGGCTCATGTACGTGAGTTTTGCCCACTTCACACTATTACAATCTAACTATTAGAAAGTGTTTCATATGTAAAATAGAATCATTCTATCATCTGATTCACGAGGAACATAATAGAACCACTTAAGGCAACAAATTTCTGGCAGTGAGCACCCTTAAGGTCTATCTATAATAGCGGGAAGTGGGATTAGGTAGGGGCGGCACCAGGGATGGAGCTTGTATTCCCGCTCGTGGTTCATCCCTTCTGGGTAGGTCTGTATTCAGTATACAATTGTGGCCGGTAAAACATAAAACATCTCCTCTATGCGAAGAGAATTGAAGGACACCAAAAATAAAATTCGTCAGGAGCCATATCCTAGAGCGTGTAACCCCCCCATACTTAACCTATGCAACGGCGTTTTCACAGATCAAGTTATTTTAAACATCATTTTTCAGCACCTTTTCCCGCGAAAATGGAAGCATCTTTCCGTATACGTGCGCATCAGTAGTACAATATTTGCAAAAAGAAGAGGTAAATGCTTCCAAAATATCAGGAATACTTTTTTCTACTGTCCGGTTTTTAATGCATGACTGATTTTTAAGACAAATTTGATATTCAAAATTTGCAGGAAAATCGATCTAAAATAAACTGGTCTGTGATGAATCCGTTGCATGGCACAAGGGAGTTACTGGCTCCGAGTTATGGGCTCCAGAGTGCTTGTAATTGGTCAATTCACTTTGATTTAAATCTGTTTTTAGCGAGGACGATAATAAACAGAATGGAGCCATTGGTATCCAACATTAAAGAAGGGGAAACCGTGTCGGTTGACTGTTATGCAAGTGGAATCCCAGCCCCTGACTTCTTCTGGAAATTCTTAAAAAACATAACGGGTAAGCAGACATACCAGGTAGCAGTCATACCGTGTAAGCACTGAGATATATCGGGTAAGACGACATGCTTGCCCTCGGGTAAGCAGACATACCGGGTACCAGACTTAACAGATAAGCGGAAATAACCGGGTAAGAAGACATACCGGGTAAGCGGACACACCGGGTAAGCAGACATGAAGGGTAAGCAGACGGGTAGCAGACATAACGTGTAAAAAGACAGGGGGTGTTTACATGAGAAAACTCTCATCGGCGCGAGCTTCATACCGGGATGACCTTTTGATGTTGTATCCCGTTTACATGCTAACTGGGTCATTTCACATCTCGTTATCTGAGGGTACACTTGATGTCAATAAAATATACGTGTGATTCAAAATCGCAAACATTACGCATGCGCTACCCGTTCCAGTCCACCGTCAGACCGATTTCACACCGAAACATGTGGTTGTTTCTTGTTTCGCGTTTACATGATACCTTTGCGAGTTTTCGTACCGGAACGAAATTGTCGCCCCGGTACAACAACCGGGGTGAACTCACGCCGGGGTGACTCGCGCCAGCGTAACATTTTGTGGTGGTATCATGTAAACAAATGTAGAGCCATGAGAGGGAACCGGAGTGAACTCGCTTCGGGGGGAAAGTGGCCCCGGTGTCATGTAAACACCGCCTATATACAGAGTGGCAGATATACCAGAACAAAATTGCTATTCCTCCAAAGTAAAAAACGTCTTCTGATTGGACGAGAATGTGCCATCTGCAATGTGTCAAGACAAGCTGTCAAATTTTCAGCTGTTTTCTTTTTTGTTTTTCCTTGGAGCCAGTCATTAACTGTAAGTCTTGTTTTCTAGTGCCATGCTAACGGCATTTCATTTCTTCGAAGCGAGTTTCCTTGGCAAGATGTCCCAGGCCGACATTAAAGACGGCAGTGGTACGCTGATTGGCTCCAAGCTGACTATCACTGGTGCTACGTATGAGAACTCTGGTTCATATGAGTGCCGTGCTACTAATACACATGGAGAGGACAAAAAAATTGCACAGATTAATGTGGCAAAAGTGAATGACGTCGGCTCTGGCTCCTTGGACGAGCCGTTTTATTAAGGTACGATTTGCCTTACCTCTCTCCTCCACCGCGGCCTCTTTGTGTGTTAGTAAGTCTGGGGAGAGTTAAAAACCCCGGGGGACGATGGGAAGAGGAAAGAAAGGAAGAAAGGCTCCTCCCTTTTTTCTTTTCCCATCGTCTACCGCAGGCTTACAATTTTTAATATTGGAATACCCGACAGGAGCCTCTACGGAAGAGAGACCTTGTTTATTTCAGACAATATAGCAACTAGATTAATTACAAATTAGAACTTTGCCCGACAGGAAATGGGAGTGAGGAAGTGATTTCATTGGATGATCATACATGCGATTTAGCGATGTAGATGCCAGGTGCTGGCCCAACGAGATACACCCGCGACTAAAAAATGTTCAAGGCCGGATCTGCTTGCATGGTGTCCAAAAAGAGAAAACTTAAGTCAAAAGACGCCATTAGGACTATGCCTCACTAACCCAACAATAACAAAAACATTAATAATATGATTTTTGTCACTTTTACTTATAGAAACGTATAGATGCTTGAGAGAACTGGACATGCTGTTTAGAGTAAATCTTTCCCGAACTAGATAAAAGCAAACACTATAACTGAACTATAACATCAGTATTCATTAAAAGTGATTTGGTATCAAGGTTCTATTTGTGCGTTTTATTTTTTTACGCCTGTTAGGTCTCAGGCGCCACTAAGATGCAGAACATCATGGGAAGGATGCTATAAAAAGTAAAGCGTAGCATCGTTCCCAAGGTTTTCTCTAAGCCTTGAGGCTGGCCGAGCCCCAAAGCGAAGGGTAAGGTCCTGGAAACGAGATTGCGTGGCAGTCGAGTGGTGTGTGGTTTTTTAATCCACGTTCATCCACGTGCCCTGAAAAAGGAAGGAGCCGGAACGCGTGGGGACTAGGGAGGTAGTCCCTTTATTCCTGCATTTATTTCAATAGGAGATAGCTTGAAAACTAAGTGTTCATTTTCTGGCTGGGGTCAAATTAAAGTATGATTTCATAGGCGCTTCTCTTCGTCTTTAGTCGATCAGTAAAATGACTGGTCGCTCATCACATACCCATCTCTCTTGAGAATCCCGATGATTTTTCTGGTCGAAAATTAAAATGATCTATCATTGTCGGTGTAGTTCATCGTCGTGGCCTTCGAGGAATGGTTCATGAGGCCAGGGCTAGCCAAATTCCTCAATGAACAGGTTTTTTATGAGAATAAAATTTCATAAAGATGAATGTCAAATGAGCTTTAGTAAAAGGAAACCCCCGATGTATTCTCTATTTTTTAAGATTCACTCATCAGTTAAAGGCTTTCAGACCTTTTCCTTTTATCAAACTAGGAACTTAACTCTTCCCAAGGCCTTCCCCCTTGCCCGTTTTCTAAGGGAAGTGAAAGCCTGGGTACGAGGCTGACAACGACCCCCAATTTTTCCTTTTCTTGGATGTGCTTGCACTTCTTTGCAAACTTCTTGCACTTGTGCTTACGTCGCCCAAGTTAAAAGAATAATTAAAAACACAAAAGAAAAACTGCAAATGCTTTTATTATTTCTTCATTCTTTTTGTAAAAAAAATCGGGCAAGTAGTAAGACACATGCATACCGTGTTCATTATAACTAAAAATGGTACTACATAAAAGATTTCTTTTCATTCTCTATCAAAAGTTCACTCTTCCTGATGTTTCCTTTGACATTTCCTTTTGGCCAGTCAACAGCCTAGGCGACATCCTTAGTGAGCCAAAAATGTTTTTCCTCATCAATGCGATGACAAAATTCGCGCATCACTGGGGTTCCCAAAGTGTTTACTTTTGGATCTTGAACTACCTAACAAGAAACATCATTTTCAATACTTTCAATACATCAATATTAAAGCTTTCTTATAATAGATTTAAATCAGTTTTTTTTTTCATGACATAATATGCAGCCATAGAAAAGATGTAAGCTTTGACTCTTGAATCATCTGCTAACCCAAACAAGAGGCGACTGTAACTAGCTAGCGTTAAACCATTTTGTAGACGTCGGGGACATAAATGGTGCTGGGTAACTACAGAGAAAGCACAGCAACCAAGACACCCTGGGAACGAGGATTGGTTAGCTCACTGACTGCTGTTTTAGTAGAGCAGCAGTGTGTCTTTGCACAGTACTATAAACGTTTAGCTATTTCGTCTTCGCCAAACGTGTAAAAAGTTCCGCCACTTTGTTTTTGCTGTACCTAAACAACTTCGTCTCCGGGGCTTCTCGGGTGCCGTCCATTTTCTGGCATTAACGCTGTGCTATTGTCGTCATTGCTCAAATTTCGTAAACGTCTTGCAAATGTGGTCAACTCTAACTGATTTGAGCCTTCCAGAAATGGAGAAATATTTTGAATGAATGACTTTGTCTTTCACCCCCATTTCTGCAAATCAATACGTCAAAGCAACACGTACCTTAACATTTATCTTCTTCTCTCCTATACCAAGGCAAGCGCTGTAGAAGGGCTTTTTTTGTTTGATTCCATCGGCTCCCTCCTGCTCGCACCAGCCAATTTTAGGCAGATGCAACTCCTCAATGATATTATCGGTCAACGTCACTATATCGCTTCCAGAGTCAACCATGAACTTTACTCTTCGACTACGAATATCCTTGACATCTTCTTTCGGGTGAAAAATGTCAGCTGTGAGACAAAGAAATTTACCGAACCTGTAAGGGAAGTTGAGATACCTACTCGTAACCCAGACGGGAATCGGGGAGATTTTTCGCTGCACCTTCTTTCCCGCTCCCTACTTTTTTAACCTTTCCGCAATTTCCCTTCTTACCCGCACCATAAAGATGAAAATCGGGGAATCTAAATTCTTAGTCGCTCACCTTCCTCCTCTTAACTGCTCGTGCTCTTCCCAGGCTCCCTCGGCCACCACTTTTCCTTGTCTCAACAGGTTTTGAGCTGTTCATAGCAAAGCAACGCAACGCATGGTTCAGCTTGAGATAATTCTGTCCATACTAGCCTGACAAAACAGCTGATCATGACATTCCGCGACACCACTACTGGTTTCGCCACGAAATGACGTCTGACCACACACTGCTGGCAGGGTAGTCTGAAAAACGAGCGCAGCTCAGAAATTTTATACCCAGATCTGGGTAGTGCCTCTGATTGGTAGTGCCGCGTGGGAAATTTGCTTTAACCAATCAGAAGCACTGCCCAGTCCTGGGTAGTGACGCATCATTATAAAATTTCTTCGTTCGTTTCCGTCAGACATAGCCTCGCGGGGAAACCAGGGCGATGGCGTCGCGAAATGCTTGCTGTTTTACCAGGCTAAGTCTGTACTATTCTGTTAAGTATTGCTACTTGCTGTGCATGGTAGTTAACGTTAATTTGCGCGAAGAAATTGTAAATCAGATAAAATTACGGCTTCGCTCTCAAGCATTATTAATTGAACCTAATTGACCAGTCAGGCCAATAACCAGAATACCTTCAACTGACATGATACAACTCTTGACTACCACACAGGTTGTCGAAACCGCAGTCACTGTCAACAACAGTCTTATATAGGACTACGCTCATCCGAACGATCACATTAAACCTATATCTACTTCTAAAATTTCAAACTATAAACAACAGAGATAACTTAAGCTGTTAGAATGAACATGCAGTTAATCTAAACACCAATTACCATCTCTGTTAATCGTCTTCAAATTTTGTCCTTTGAAACTTATTTTGTATTTGCGGTGTTGTTCACACCTTTCTTCAAATTGTGAGGCAATTTTTTTTATCTAGCCGAGCTATGTCACCCAACATCTTTTTTTTTTTGTTTCAAAAGTTTTTGATAATAATAATAATACAGTGGAACCTCTTCTTTGGGACTCCCCCCCCCCATTCAGGGGACACAAAATTTTTGTCCCGGATAAATGTTCTCATAATCTTTGTATTTGTTACTTGCTTTATTGAAGAGACACCTCTCTTCAGTGGAAAGGGAGACTTTTTGTGGGTCCCGAAATCCAAGTTTATCTCCATTCAGGGGACATCTTAGCACCCAAAACGTAACTGGCCGCAAAAATCATTAATCAGAGCGCAAGAGTGTACACTAGTCACAATGGCGACAGATTTCAAAACATAAACTATCGCACCTAAATCGATGTACTGCACTTGTGGAAATTCAACATACACCATCGCAGAGATAATTTAATCACTGTTTTTAATAAATTATCGAGCTGCTTGAAATAATAACTACTAACAACAGATTCCGAGGAAGAATAAAAGAAAAAATATATTATTTATTGACAAACCCCAGCCCAACCTTTGCCCCATGTAAGGGAATCCATGACAGTCTTGGATTCTGGATTCCACCCTGTGGATTCCGGATTCCGAGTACTGGATTCCGGATTCCAGCTCAGTGGATTCCGGATTCCAAAAAGGGCTGGATTCCAAAATTTTTTTTCTGTTGTAATGCTTTTCTTCGCATTTCGTTTTCGTGTTCGAATCTTGCTATATTGAAAAGACGTTGTTTAGAATGAATAACAAGTTTGTTTTCTTTTTCAATTTATAAATTACGTGAAGAAATGTTTTACTGTTCCGTAAGGGTTTAAGGTATAATAATGAGGGGGACATTGGGGGACTGTCCACACCGCAACACCGCGGGAAAAAAAACAAACATCGCATCACCGCAAAAAAAAAGTGGCGAAACACCGACATCGCAATTTTAAATTTTGTCCTTCGCTTAATCTAGTCCAAATCTCCATATGATTAGGGATGGAGGATCTCGGAGCTGGTTTAGTGATTAGTAGAGAGTGAGACTGACCTCAAGACTCTATTTTTCACTTACTCTATTTTTGCGAACTCTATTTTCAGTCATGCATATAACAAAATGCCTAATTAGCAGAAACAAAAGAACTCTTACAGATCATTCCTAAATTTAAATATTCACGTTTATTCATTTGATTGCTCCATAATAAAGTATTGGGAAAAGGTACAGTCATTGCCAGGGAAAAATCGAGCTGAAATTTGCAAGAAAACGCCTAACAAAGTTCCTGTGTAACTCCAAAACAATTTTTCCTATCTATGCCATATCATAAACCAGCGAAGGTTAATCAAGTCTTTTGCTATCCACCAATAATATAATAGAAGGTTCATATTGTTTGTATGTCGTTACATTCGTAGTTTTTCTTGTCCTGTCCGAACGCCTGAAGCAGGCTACGTCGAAACATGTTTGCAAATTCTTTTGGAACATTAAAACAGTATTTCGAAGTAATATAACTTAACAAAACGTTAAAGGCCGCCAATCGCTAATCACCTCCAAGCTATCACGAAGAAAAGCTTGATTTCTTAACATGTTTTTGGACATTGTTTTTCCTTCTCTTTCTACTTTTTATTGGAATCATTGTCATAGCGCAAAAAACTAAATTCGCTTACCGCCTCTTTTGTAACACTTTCATTTATAGAGACACAGTAAGCTGTAGAACACGCGCATTAGATATCACTTCTTAACTGAATTACTTTCACACTTTCTCATATGACTCGTAAGACACGAATTTTAGCCAAATACAATAAAATACGACGGGATAAGCATATATACTCAGTAAAAGATTGACAATTAAAAAGAGCACTACGGAAGATTAAATTGGACTTCAAGCTGACAAAAGTGGTGTCCCGGTCAGCGCGGCCCTAAAGTGACTAAAGTTGACTGTGTCACATAATCGTCTAAGAATGATAACATGGCTCAAAAAAATATTTCAGACAGTGGCTGGACCACGTTGATCCACCAAATAAATTTTTACGCTGTCACGTCTCGACGTTTTTGACTGGTCAAAATAAGGAAAAAAGTTAACTCTTGAAAGTCTGCAAGCCCAAAACTATCAGTTACTTGGTCTAGTCGCTGAACCATTTAAATCGACTTCAAAAATTGGCTTAATAGACAAAACGGCTCAAAAAATAGTCAAAGATAGCCTGATTTGCCCGCGTTCAATCAAAACTGTAGAGCTGAATTGGTTTGTTCTTCATTGACTTACGCATGCAGGAGCAAACCACCCCCTCGCCCTAGAGGTCAATGAAACCCAGATCTCTTGTTGACGAAGCCAAAGGCGAGATCTGGCCCAAGTTGTCCGGTTGAATTTGATGTTAAAAAGATAAAAAAAAACACAAAAATTAGTTGGTTCATACTTAAGATGTGCGCATAACCACGTTTTGATAGAAAAAACTTCACGGCTCTATCAAATTCGTTGTTTAACACGTCAAAACTTGGAGATCAATTTCAAGCGTGCGCTCTTTCACATTTCTGACAGGCAATCACGGGTACAAAATCGGATTTGACCAAATCTCGCCTTTGGCTTCATCAAGAAGTAAGAGATCTGAGTATGAGATTATAAAATCCCCCGCGAGCTTTAATTCATATTAGCGCGTTCTAGGTGGCTCTAGGATGATTTCGAAGAAAAAAAAATTACGGGCTAAACCGATCTCAGATCGGTCTAATTTCCAAAAGCGATCTCAATGTGAACGAGACCTAATCACAACTGTAGAACCAGAAAACATGAAAAGTCCTTTTGATCCTCGATCGAGTCTGAGATAAGTGAGAGATCGAGAGAGGCTTGGGCGTTTCTGACGCGTTGGATCGTTTCAAGCGTTTATTAACAACTATGTAGCGCTCATGTATACGATATTTTCCCCAAGGACGACGTAAAATTTAAATTACATTCACATGATTGAGAAAAAAATCAATCAGCGGGCTTAAAACTATACACTTAACGTTTCTTTTGTTCATGATTGTGACTTGCTTGCCGCCACTTTCAGCACAGTCCATAGATCGACACAAACGAAAAATCATGCAGCTTTGCCTTTGGCACGTTTAGATCTATCGCAGTCAGCTAAAAATTGGTGTAAAATTTCACAACACAGTATTACAGGTACCTTTCTCTCTCAGCCTTTCGTTTTTGCTTGTGCTTTCCAACAACGTCTTTTTTTAAAAAAAATCCAACAAACAACAAACTTCAAACTTGTCTGATCGAAGAGGTGGCGAGATTTCACTCGAATGCCGGGGGATGAATGAAAAGGCACCCACCGCGTCCTCGCACGTGATTACTTTGGTGATAGCGCTGATTGGTACGGTTCTGACAGTTCCTGGCTTATTTCTCAAATAAAGATTATCGAAACTATGAAACTGTTCTCAGCGAAACTACTAGGACCAAATTAGGCACTAGGAGACTGTGAATTTCCTTTTTTTTCTGAAAATGTTGAACGTAGACGTTTATTTTCATTTGTGAACCAGGAGGACCAGGAAGGTTCAAGAAAAGGTTCACCCCAGGTGCACCTTTTCCAGTCCTATGCCAGATCAAAAAGCTCGCATAAAATCGCTTTTGATCTTTTAAAGTTTAGCAAAGCAAGTGAACAACAGAGAATCAAACATAGCCAGAGGTCGAAGTTATTCATAGCAATTCAATTTATACCTTAAAAAGGCTGCGCTGTTCCCTTGAAAACCCCGAATTTTGTGATCCTTCCAGCCGCTCATAAGCAAGGGTTCCCTCGCTATTATAGAATTTTAATCATGTGACCGTGACCTCGACCTTTCATATGGAGCTCGTGAACTATTGTTTTGACTCCAGATATGCCGATATTATGTCGTCAAGTTCAGGTCTATACCCTCGTGAGGCTTTCCATAGACTGATGGTTTTTCTTTCGAGCGAGTAGCTCAATTTAATCTGCAGTGGATCTTTAGTAAGTTGGATTCCGGATTCCAATCTTTAGTAGGATTCCGGATTCTTAGTGCTGGATTCTGGATTCCAAAGCCCAGGATTCCGGATTCCACAAGCACAAAATTCGTGGATTCCGGAATCCGGATTCCCTTACATGGGGCGACAACCTGCAGTTTATTCAAGGGACACTTGCCTCGGTAACGAGGCAGTTTCTTGAATGGAGTTTCCACTGAGTGTACAGTGGAACCTCGATATAACGACGTGCTAAGGGACTGGAAAAATTTTCTCGCTATAAAGAGGTTTCGTTATATAGAGGTACTTTTCCATATACCAGTTCCTGTAACTGGGGTAAACAAAATCATTCGTTATACCGGTTACCTCGTTATATTGAGGGTTCCAATGTATTTGATTATTTTATATAGCATTAAGAAAGTTTGTAATCTGTGCAGGACCTAGTCGTTTGCTTACCTTCCCTGTAAATCCGCCTTTTATGTCCTGGAAGGTCTATGCCCATGTCAGCCAGTGACTGCAGGCTCACTTTAGCGCAAAGGGCCAAACTTGTGAAGCCAGAGGCCTGAAACTGATTAAAATACTGTTCCAGTCCTAAAGAGTGAAGCCACAATTTCACTAGTTCAGGGTCTGAAAGGAAAAATCATCGAGGAGTATTCGACCAGGTTGAGGTCTTCACTCACTAATCTCTTAAGTAAGGAAAGAATAAGTCTTATTTATTTATTTATTTATTTCAATTCTTTCCAAACTTTAGAGGTTAGTGAATAGTTAAGACCTCGCTCTAGTAAAAACCAATCTGAAAAACACTTCGGTGTAGGATGAGACACAAAAAGGTAGGAGTCTGCATTTTCTCAATATGATGGGAGAACTAATAATCTCTAGTATAAACAGAATCCGTGTATGATAATACCACTAGGAGAAAAATTGGCCTGCTTTTAAAAATAGATCATCCTCTCTTTATTCCTCACTCTTACAAATTGTCCACGATACCCACTTTCAGCACGATTACCGTGTTTTGCTTGAGACAAAATCGTCAAAATTAAAACTTGTGAAAAAAACGGAGTGCGAAAAAAGGAAAACGCGAACATAGCCAATAATAAATTTTTTTTGTGAACAATTCAAATATTCCCGAACAATATGTTTTGAAATTTCCCCCGATCTCCACAACCCTTCACCCATGGATTCTCCCATCCTTATTCTGTATGCCACAGGTTTCGAGAAAAATAGTTGGGACACTTCCACTCGAACGCTGTTTTTTCCGTTCTCGCTCGTCTCCTCTCTCTCCCAATTTTAACTTAGCAAATCTTGTACTCCAACATTGGGAGGACAGGGAGAAAGTAGTGTCCCAACAATTTTGACTGAGACTGTAGTTAAATCTACGAAATTTAGCGTGAAACGGCCCACTCTGTGACGTGCGGCAAGATCTGCTGAAAAGTCTGATGAGTTTCGAAGTGCTGAGTGGTCATGTTTTAAATCTTCTCGAGATTTTATTCGATGTGAAAAAGGCGTCAATTAGTTAGAATAAAGTGATTATCAGTCACAATGCATACGACCATTTGTTATGACATTTATTAATACAACTCGATCCAGATCATTGTTGTCGAACACGTGTTGCATGCATCGCCGCACAGTGAATTTCATTATCTCAGTTTTCGAAGTACTTGTTCATATAAAACAATGCCTGTCCATATATTTCCTTAAAAAAATCAATAACATTGAAATAAATCCATTATTTCACGGTAGGGCAATACTCTGGTTAAAAGCGATAAAGGTGTTACTGTATAATTCATTTGTTGAGTTGGCGGAAATAACTTTTTAAAAAGATGTTAGTTTTTGATGCACGTGTCATAATAATGTTTTCATAAAACAAGTTAATATTTGCATGAGTGCAGAGACCATGCGACACAGCGCTGCTTACTCGGTGTACTCGTAATTTCACTTAAGTCCGATAACAAAGAACAGATAGAATATACGGAGCGTTATTGTATCCGCAAGGACAACTAGTATTATATAATTGGGTTTTCTAGGATTACTCGACCAATGAGAATGGCCTATAACAGCGTTCAGTTTATGGTTTTCAAGGTCAGTATATTAGAGGTTGTCTTGAGAGTATTTTATAAAACTGATATAGTAGGCCAAAGAATTTACTGCAGGTGCAAAGACTAGAAAATGCTCATATTTAGTGACTCTCAATTCAATTTTTACCTACAAAACTGTCAAGTACCTTTCTGAAGTGCTGCTCTGTAGCTTGATTGTAGCTTTTCATCATGGATAAGCGAGGTAAGATCTTCATTTTCAAGATATAAAATATCGCACACACGGTCATATCCGCGCTCAGAAAAACGAGAGGAAAAGTCTTGCAGAGCCAGTTGTTTCAAGAGCTGACTCACACTACCCTCCTCGGATGACATCTTAATTCAGTTTGTAACACGGACGGGACTCAGCAAATTCGTGGCCAGTTGTATTAGTTCCAGTTTTTCTCAAAGGCAGTAGTTTAAATCTGTTGACCGATGACAACTTCACTGGTAGACTCAATGAAATTATTCCTACGTCCTCTGTGCTCGTCACTCAATTGTCAACTATCATTGTGTTTTCAGATTTTTCCTGATTAAAATTACCACTGGACGCTATTATGGCGTTACCTAGCAATGAATAGGCCACAATTCACTTTATCAGCCTTTGCTGCAGTCTTAAGTCTTCAGGTGCTCGAATCGACGGACAGGAAACCTCTATGAGTTATATGTGTTCATTAGAGACTTAGCGCACGTGAGTAAAGACGGGCCAAATCCTATTAGGAGACACTCGTATCAAAGCAAGAACTTTAACAAGTTGCTTTGTAAACAAAGCACCCACGTGTCAGAGCGGAGAAATATCCTACAGCTGAGTAATTATTCCTTTCACGAACTTGACAATCTCACTTCATTTTCAATTGAAAAACTAACCGGAATACCCGACTAATGTCTCTGTCCTGTCAAATATCTTTTCGACTGGGAAGTAACTAATGGATTGAACTTTCTCTAACTGACGGAAAGGCTAAAAAAATTGGAGATGACTGTGCCATTAATCATAACCCAGCCATTCATAGATGTTCTAAACGTCACTTTTTACTGACCACCGCTCAGCCAGGTTGAAATAAAGATGAGAAATAAAAATAAATTTTCTCCTCTAGAAAAAAATCATTTGTTTTCAACTTAAGTCAGCGGACACCCAGAAAATAGCCTTGCCTAACTACTATCTGTTGCCCTGCTTTCCTGCAGCAAATTTTCAAATTACCCAGTGATTCTCAGAAAGGTCCAGCTTAATTCTGGGAAGCAGATTTTTATGTACTTTATTACAAATTCTTGGAAATACCGCTGTCTTGGAAACTCCTTTGAATAAAACGACTCGACCTCTATAGCAAGTCTGTGTTAAAGATGTCTTCCGAAAATGCAGTATGTTTTATCGGCTAAAGTTTTTTACTACTACAACGGGTGAAATCATAAATAGCATCGGTTAATGTTCATGAATGAGTATCTCCTGGTCTGTGTGCGTTTACGTAATAGATTTGATCACGCTAGACCGTGAGTCACTTTTTGCCGCGCGAGAAGTTACTTTGACGGGTAAATTAAACGTTCACTAAAATGACTTTTAAAATGTCGTATAGCCTGTCCTGAAAGATTTTGTTGATATCATGATCGACATTGACCCATGATCACTCCAAGCGGGCAAGCCTAGAGATATACGCCAGAAGCCGATTGATTTTCTTTCTTAACCTTAAAAGTTAAGTAAGGAGGCAGTGTGGCCGAGGTTCTGAAGTCCCTCCCTGAATGCTAGCTGGATTTGTTCTCGGAAGTCCCTAGTTCAAATGCTCGACCTCGCTCGTAAATAGCCAATAGGCCTTATCACGGTTTTGGAAACCATCTTGACAAGTAGGCAACCGCGTGAGAAAATTACAGAGTTTGTATGAGAATCTTATGTCGAATAATTTCTGTAAAAGGGCTGTTCTGAAAAAGAAAAAAAAGAATTACAAACTAATAAAAGCTACACAGCAAAGGATTTTACTAACAAATTTTAGGGGCCGTTACTGCTTTAGATTTTCCATATATTTGTCTGCAATTTTTCACGGGAAATTTTAGTCGGCAGGAAGAGAAATTTTTACAAACAAATGTGTAGCAAAATTTTAAAAAGTGGTTCTAGCGTATGTAACTCTGTTTTCCTTTCTAGCGTATGTAATTCTATGCCCTCAAAGTTTTTCATTTGAGTCGTTAGGAGTGAAGCTTTAGTTTACAATTCATATTTTTTTCAGAACAGGCGTTTTACGGAAATTATTCGACATTAGATTCTGAACACGCGGTGGCCTACTCGTCAAGATGGCTTCCAAAACCGGGACACGGTCTATTTCATCCCGAAGTCCTTTCCATGTTTTCTTCTTTTCCTTTGCAATTCTCCTCAAACTATCAAGTTAGCTTTGAAATTCAAGGACTTTCCAGCACCGATTGCAATTTTCAAGGACTTCGAAGGCCTTAAATTTGTATTTATAAAATTCAAGGACTTTCACGGTGCGAGTGAACCATGCATAAATATAACTAGCGCTAATGTTGGGAAGGACTCCCAAAAGCAAAATCGGTGCGAATGGCGCCAAATGGTTTGGGTTCCTGACAAATGGACAAGGTTTGCGAAACAAGGATCTGGCACACCCTCAATCGAATTTTCCAGGAGTAGCTAACCCGTTCTATGTACCATGACAAAAACAAAAACACAGACGATACTGCTACGGTTAATTTCATTTATTAATGTCTGCATACACATTCCACTTAGGGAAATACTGTAGGGAAATACAGATTAAGATTACGCCTACAGTAAAAACCCCAACTAAGAATCTGCACTTTCCCAAGTCAGCCAAAACAGTCAGGTTAGGTTCTTAGATAGGTTCTTGTTTTCTGAAGAAAAAAATACACAGTAGCTGAGAGTATTTACTGGTATTCAGCTCATTCCTTAGGCACCCATGTGAGGATTCTGAATGTTGACCTATCTTGAGAAAATAAGAACCTGTTCTAAATTTCAGGCAAAACAGGTTCTTGTATAGGGGGGCTTAACTGGAAAATTTTAGCCTAACAGGTTTTTACTGGTTTTTACTGTATTGTGACTCCATTTTATCTTTGATGCAAGAGTGCGTTGTACGTCATTGTACTACGGCGAACATAAAACGGAGGAAAAAACTCATTGGCGATTACCTCATGCAGTAATAGTTGGGTTAGTGTGAATTTCGTTAAACGCTTGACTGCCGGTGGAGTAAGGGGAATTGAAGGGTGGAGTATTTTCCCCCCTTCCCTCCCCCTCTCGCCCTGCTCTTTCAGTTTAACTTTCACACACGGTACTTCGTCATCCAGTAACACCTTTCTTGTGGTTGGCTGGAAATTAAGCCTGTCGACTGAACGTAACGAGCTGAGGAAAGGCAGCCTCGTCTCTAGGTCAATTCCTGCTATGCAAGTGCGCGGAGAAGCCTTAACGAATCCTCCCGACAAATTAGATGGGTGAAATGAGGCGGAAGGAAAGCTTTCCAAAGATAAAATTGAATCACTCATAGTTTATCTTGTAAACAACTATCGGCTCTTTGTGAGGATAGGAGACACATTAGGGCCATTTATACGAGAAAAAATAAGACGCGTCTTAAATAAGACGCGAACTTTCCGTACGGCACATTTCGTCTAAAATAAGACGCGGCTTAGCTAAGAAGCGTCTTATTAGATAAGACATGCTCGTATAAATGGTACAGTTCGCGTCTTATTTTTTTCTTCGTATAAATGGCCCTAATGTTCTGTTCATCATATATCACGGTCCACAGAACCTAACCCAGAGGCAACTGATTTCGTCAAATTAAAAAAAATTGTATAAGTAAATGAAAGAAAGTTAACGCAACAATTAAGAACGTGGAAAGAAGTGACCGATGGAAGCAATATGTGAGAATTTTTCATAAAAAATATATATATACAAAAAAGGCAACGAAGGCAAACCAGTAGTAATAGTATACTGGCAATCAATGCCAAGACAATTTCAGCAAACTGATCAAGCACGAGCAGACCAGTCAACAACCCGCGAATACAGCCGTCTTTTCAGTCTCGCTCCTAGCCGGTATAGGGACGTTTTGCGGGAGGGGCTTTCTCCCGATCCCGCGAAACGCCCCGAGTGGAGAGGACCGAGGAAAGAAGGCTGCATTCGTACAGAGGAAATGCTGTTATCTATGACTTCCTAGTCTAAAGGAGTTGAGCAGAAAAAGTAGCTACTTCAAGAGGCGCTGTTCCGTAACAGTTAAATACATGCACGATAACAGTTTTCTGTTTCAAACTTAAAGCGAAACGCTGTGTTTTAAATATTCTCCTTCGACATTTTAAGGAATCACCGAGTTCAAAGGGCTTTGAAAGAGCACCGCACCCATTTCCGTGCTTCGCTTTATTCTGAGCAGCGCCTATTCCATCAACTACGCAGGGTAAAAAAATAACTTCAAATGAACACAAGAATACCAAAATAAAATATTGCCGAAGATTTTGTCACTAAAATGACTAACAATCGAGCACTTGCTTGAAGCTGCCATTACTTCCACATTTCCGTTCTGTGCTAACACAGAACAATCAAATCGACCACAAAAGAAATTTTATCATAATATAGAGAATACTCCCTACTTTTCAAAATTTTAAATAATTTTTCACTAATTTTTCGGAGTTTTAATTTTTTCCTGAACAAAACAGGCGGAATTTCAAATAATACAAACGGACTTTCATAAGAAAAATAATGACACCAAAATAATTATATACAACTCAAAACTGTTTTCTTTTACCCCTGCATTCAACAGCCAAATGCCAAATTATATTTCGTAAAACCACGAAAAGAGAGGAAACCATATAAAATAACTACTGAAGAGATTTCATTTGAATGCGCATATCATAGGGTTTTGTTTTGCAGTCTCAAGTTTCTGAACTACAAACAAAACAAGCTACCCGACGCATGAAATAAGAACTAAAGAGGTCACAATTGAATGCCTATATCATAAACAGTAACGGATCCAAACCTTCAGATCTGGAGCCCCGGTCATCCAGACTCTGAGTTAAGGGGGGTCCGTTCTCAAAAATTTTTTTTCAACCCTTCGGGCCTCAATTGGGTCTAAAAACAAGGGTAACAAGGGTGAGTGGGAGAAGGGGGGGGGGGTCCCTCGGGTCCCTCCCTTGGATCCGCCACAAATAAAGATTCTGCACCCTGTGAGCAGGGCCTCCTTTTACCTTCTTCTTGATCGAGGAGGAGAAAAAGAAGTTCTGCTCTCAAGAATCGCGTCAAGCCTTTGAAGTCGCCGTAACCTGAACTTCTGGACTAGTCAATCTTGTTTTCTCTCGTCAAACCAATGGTCACAACTGAGCCCGCTGTACAAAGTGTACGGCTCTTAGGCCTGGGTTCGAAAATGTATTCTAGCGACATGGAGCGCATGCTCAACAAAGATCTTAATCGATTCATGCCGAGTTTTTTCTTGTTTTTTTGAGTACGTCAAAATGAACCAAGCCGCTGCAGGGTGAAGATTCCATTTACATAGCCAAATAGAGTATCTTTATCGTTAAATATAGGGGTGAAAGGGCTAAGGAAGAAAAGAATAAGATCATATCGTGTTTGGTTTTAGTCTCCTCGAGGCTTCTTTAGTGTTGTGTCATAACGACGGATGAGTTCAGCCTGCGACAAACAAACAACACAAACAATCAACTGATGATAACTGGTCAAAAAAATTACTGCAGAATCGGTCTTATTTTTATTTTGTGCGTCGTTAAGAAAAGGACCCGTTTGTATGACCCGGAAAAAAAGAGGGTCTCCAAAAGTTGACACCTCTGCCCCAGCCAAGAGTTGAAAACAGCCCTCGCGCACGCCCTGATTGTCTTTCTGACAGTCTCGAGTTGACCCGGCTTGTCGAGGCAAAATGTTCATATCGAGAAAGGTTGGCCCGGCTAGCCGAGCCAACTTTTTGTTTCTCAGGTAAACGGTTCGCAATTTTTTTCAGGCAACGTAGGAAAAAGGTTGCCCGCCCAGGGTAGCTTGGGTGGGCGAGTGACTCTTCTACCCGGGGGAAGTCTTCTCCTTATAAACGGAGTGCTTTGCACTTTCCTCGGCGGTGAAGGGTATACGCGGGTTCCCCGGATCATTATATTGACCCGACGGCTATGCCGTGTTGATGAGCCCCAATAAGGGCGAAACAGCTGTCCATGGCTGCCACTGCCGAGGTGATATGGTTGTACCCGCGCATGCGTAAGGTACTGGCCACACCGCGGAGTTGGTACGTGTGCCTCTGTGCATAATTTGGTATTGTTTCACATTTTTTGTTTATGTCATCAACGCCAGGGTCAAACGTCTAATTTCACATGTGCCGAACCTTATGCTAATGAGCGACAACAACAGAAATCGCCAACTAACGTTGGTTTCGGCACATATGAAACTAGACGAGTTTGACCAGGATCTAACACAAAATCTGTGCAAACAAACTTAAGCCTAAAATCAAAGAAGAGCATGCACAGTTACAAACCTGTCCTACTCGTGCATCTTCTTCTTGAGAAAACGCAAAACCGACTGCAGCCAAAAAGAAAAGAACAAGAAATGTTGGTACAACAAGAAAAACTTACTAAAACTAAAAATTTTGGTTAACAGAGTGTGTCTTGATTAGATGGGTAAAGTCAGAGGCATTAGAGGAGGTAAGGTAAAATTTACGACTTTCTAAATGTCCGTTTTAGTTAGGTCATCGGTCAGTGCTTTACGCGTCGAAGTCGCTCAAAAAAAGACAAAGGCAAATGTAGAAGCCGAACAAAGGCAAAACGCTTACGTGCAGAGGCTCCGCGGTCTTTTCTATCTTCAAACGCTTCGTCTCGAGTCCATATTTGCCTGTAAATGAAAAGACCACTACGTAAATAATAGTGCCTCCGAAAGATGGACGCACGCATCATTCAGCATAGCGACCACAATATTGTTAACAAAGCTTTGTCAAGGTACCGTTAAGTCCATATTGTTTAGTTTTGACAGTTGCTCGCTGTAAAACTTAGTAGCTACTTAGTGTTGGCGAAACATAAGAGTTAGTTGTAAATGACAAAATGGCAGCTTCTTGACATAATATTGCGTTTCCCAAGTAAACCAAAGATATAAACAGATAAAGAGATGAGCTGTTGGGCTGAACAATTTTTAAAAAACTACAATTGCCCCGTTCAAGTTTCTTGAACTTTCTCCATCCGTGCCTCTTTCATTTGCTACGCATTGCGGTTGTGGGAGAATTCAAAAAGCAGGAGGCGAGGTTACCAAATAATTGTTATTCTAACACCATAGGGCACACTGTACTTACTTGTGGACCGCATGATCGGATTTTATGAGCCGGCTTGGATCTCCCTGGAGACAAAACATTAATATAATTTAAAATATATCAAAATAATATAAAATTACAAAAAAAACTAGAAATACGTTTACGAGGATCAACACAAAAGGAAAATTTAAGTGGGGCGGCCCAAGGAAAATACGAAGTGAAAATGAAAAACGTAGAGAGGAAGCGCACGGAGCCGGGGGAAAGGTGGGCGTAGTAAACGAATGAGGTCAGCTTGAAACGAAATAACCTATTACAGGCGTACAGATAATGAAGAATGGCACGAAATGGAGAGCGGAAGAAAAAAAAGCCTCTTGGTGCCGTCCCCTCTTTCTGATCGCCTGGAATCAAGGCTACGAAGAAGACGTTTACGCATCGATCAACTGGTTCAACTTACATGCTCAGCTTCTACTTCTTGAATATCCTGCATCAACGTCTTGAAAAACGTTCTTTTAAATCTGGCGAGACAGAAAAATATTCAAGTTACGTTCTAGCAAGAGAAAATAGTAGGTGTGGTTCACATTTCCATTACACAAAACGAAGAGAACATGCCTCAGTTTCACTTTATTAACGTTACTAGAATACCTTTCAAAAAATCGATGTAACTTGACAACAACCTCCAACGATTTTTTAGAATAAATATCAAAGTGCCAAAAGTTGACAGGGCAGGCTTCTATTTTACTAAAATATTAATTTTTCCATTTCGCATTGAACGAGGACTCTGTTTAAAACTAATACAATTCGGGTCTAGCATCCCGACTAAAAAAAATGTTACCTAAAATGTCACTGTTTTGAGCCGGTTCCAGTTTGCGTCTGCCCTAAAAAGCTTTAAAAGCGTCCTTTGCAGATTATTAACGACAGCACAACACTAGGCCATTTCAGAGTTTCCCACGGCCTCTGTATCAAAACGAGGTTAAGCGCTATGCCTTTGATACGGAAATGATTTTTCATTCTCATGCAAATAAGACTAATTTTCACAAGAAAGGTTTTGAACTTGATCTTATTTTGAAAGTGAGGGTTTTTGGAACTCGGAAGTGTTATTATAGAACAGAAAAAATGAATTTTCAAACTTACATTTTGTAAAGGAAGTCCGCAAGGAGAGTTATCATGGGTATAATAAAGAGAGAAATCCAAAACACCGCACATGAGTATAACATACGATCCTACACAAAAAGCAATGGTAAAGCGTAAGCGTTAAATTTAAAGAAGAAGTTATAGACGTATCTTTTGCAGTTGCGTAAAGAAAGCCTGAAAAATTCAGTCTTGTACGGGCTCTGCCAACTGCGCTAACAAGCCAACTCGGATCTGGTCATTGAGTTGGTTCGTTAAAAACCCATGAAAGGATGACGATGTTATGATGAATATAAGAATTACGAGTAGTAAGCGTGGTTAAAGAAAACAGGCTATGGGAGTATTTCTTAGAAACAGACTGGTGAACGAAAGTTCCTAAATTATTTGAATTATTTGTAAAACTACTTAATCATGTTCTTCGTTCTTCGGTGGCCCATACAATGGACCCACGTTGGCAGACTGAATAAACATACCTGGCCAATCATATCAGGTGCGATGTACAAAGCTATATCAGGGATACAGTAAATTAGCAAGAAAATAAACCAGCTGGCAATACTGCCCCATATGGCCACATGACAGAGCTGTCAAGAAAAGAGAAAAACTCGTAGATTAAAGTCTTCCTTTACTGGAAAGGCATTGAAAGCGAAGACAGTCACTGTTTTTCCACATACCCAGTTCCAAGTGTCCAATTCCATTCCGGCTTTTAAACAAACGGTTATGACGACAAGCTGTAGAGCAAGAGATCAGAAAGACCTTACTTATTGAAGATACTTTTCGTCTTCCGGGCATGCGCGTGAGGATTGATGGCATAAAAGCGATATCACGTGGCAAACAGCTTAAAAATCGTGGTGAGTTTGTCTGTTCATTCTATTTTGCACAAAAGATGAAAAATTTGTAAGAACGACAAAAGGAAAGAATAGATCTGTGATCATTGCCCCGTTTAACTCGTGTTTGGTTGCAATATCCCACTGGTAAACAATAATGACGCGAAACTCGTCCTTTACAGGGGAGGCGTGTGTGACCGAACGGTTAACACCTCGAGCTCCGAATCTGAGATCTGGGGGTCCGGGGTTCAAGCCTCGCCCCTCGCGTTGTTTCCTAAGATAAGGTACTTTACTCCGTCCGGGGGGAGTAGAAGTACTCCTAGTCATGCTTCATGATAAGGAAACCGGGATAAACTCCGGTTGTTTCGGGCCTTTGGCTCGTGTGCGCTTTTACATTTTACCTTTTACATGTTGCAAATAGGCTGATTTCTCATTCTGAGAGGGAAAAAAAAACTTCATCGCGATTGCTAACTTAGTCGTTTGCATCTTTCATCTGTTACCTGATAAATAAAAGGCCACGTGGCATTGTACCCCATCAATACCTACGTGTTTGTAAAGGTGGCCGCTGATATAAGTTGTTCTCACTTATTCTTAATTCATACCTGTTCTTACGATTAAATACAATACGTTTGAAAGGTTTCAAACGTTGAATGATGTCTGATTCAGTGTGCAACATACCGTGTACACGACATTTCCAAGGAACCACTCGCCTACAACTACTCCACTGCTAAATGGAGCCTCTGAAAAAACAAACCACAAAGGAAATGAGAATAGACCTTTTTTACGATACCCACCATCTTTGCACGCGCTTAACCCTTTAAGTCCCGATAGTGACCAACAGCAATTTTCTCCCAACGATATCCACACACTGTCATGAGATGAAGTTATGAGAATTAATATAATGATCACCTAAGAGAAAATACTTTGATCTTTTATCAAATTCTCTTAACTAATTCTTAAAGGAAATGTATAGAGAGATCCGTTTGGAAAAACTGTCTTTGGATATTGGGGCTTAAAATCGTCCTCATGTTTTGAGAGAATAAACAAACCGCAGTGGACAGTGTGATAGGACAGTAGGCGTTTTGTCTTAGTTATTGGACAGTACGCGCCACCGCGCTAGCACTTGAATGTTTATTTATTATTATATTTTCCACTGCGGGCAAACACTCTCCGAATATCTTGAAACATAACAACGTTTGTTATAGTTGTGATTAACTGGTAGTTGTGATTAACTTTGTGTCGTCCAATTCGGTCTGTAATCATACTCGTGATTAAACAAATCGGACTCCCACTACGTGGTCGTAACGTGGTCGTACGATTTTGTTTATCATTCGTATAACTACAGACCGAATCGGACTGCACTCAGTCCTTTTACCATTATAAATTACAAATGCAAAGTTTGGCTGCCAGTGAGGAGCACTACACTCACCATGTCGAAGCATAAAGAAGGGTAAATAAAACAACAGCAAAGAGTGATAAACCGACTGTGCGATCCACATCCAAAACACCTGCAAAAATACATGCGGAATTAGCCCTTATCATACATTGTACTCATTATCTGCCGTCTCTTCATAGGCTAATAGCCTTCATTTCATTTTGGAAATCAGCGCAACCTACAGATTAGTTAGTTATCTGTATCTGTAGGTTCCACGCGCAATGCATGATTTCCAAAAGCAATTTTAAACTCTGATCTACGCGACAGGGTGTTTGTCGTTATTTCATTGCAAACAATAAACAAAAAAACATCTATTACATTCGGTTTTTGTGATATCCGGGGTAATCAAGGTCGAGGTAAATTCTATATAAAACTTATCGACCTTGATATTTGGGATGTCACAAAAACCTTTTTTTTTCAATAACTGTTTGTTATTGGCTTCATGTGTCATATGTTACTCGATGAACAATTCACCAGGAATATGAGACACTTCGGGAAAGACACCAAATGCAGGATAAAGGTAAAGAGTCCTTACTTTACGTCGGCGGCAGCTCGAAATAGTCATCTAAACAACAACCCTGAGGCCGACGGTGAGCTCAATTTATCCCCCGTCCCCTGTCTCTCTCCATCATCGCTCCGTTTTACGGGTATCGAAAGCTATTTCAAGCTACACGGTCACAAATGGGAATCGAACTCGGGATCACCTCCCACACAGGAGTCTAATCAGTTTAAGTTTCTGGCAAACTGCCCACCTACCCCACCCCTAACCCAACATTTTGCTTTAAGTGAGAAGTAAGTGTTAATGTTGACTTAAGGGAGGGGTAGGGGGCAGTTTCCCGGAGACCTAAATTGATCCCAGAAGGCCACACACTACAACCAACCGCGCTAATCTTTCCTACTATGAGGTTGTGGAATCTAATGATTTTTACATTCACAATAAGATAAAATGGCCCGACATCTGATCTAATTCAGTCCGTACCTTGCTGTTGTATATCTCAGCATTCTGTGACGCCTTGTACAGTTTGGGATATTTTAGCATGCTATCAGAAGATACAGTGCGATCAAATAACCCGATAGCAAGAGGCGGAACTGATGTGAAAACCTGGAATTAAGAAAAGAACAATAGTCAGAGTACAAATAATCGAAGTAAAAACTATTGGAAACTCGTGAATACCTTGTTTAGAAAATACACAGTGATGCGATAAGATAAATATTTTGTGATATAAATGATAAAAC